TGTAGTTTGTTTTTGGTTCCTTCAAGACTCTCCCACATTCTCTTCGAAACGTCGTGAGCCGAGGTAAAGGAAGTCCAGTGGGCCCAATAACTTTTTGTTGCCTGGCATATTTGACTGACATCTACTTGGTCTTGAAGTTCCAGCTTCTTTCCATCTCATTATTGGCCCAATATCTTTGTCTTTCCTCTCATCATCATCGTCCTCATAAGGTCGTCAGTCCTAAGACTGGTTGGACACGTACCTCCACTCTTTCCTCTGGCCTTCGATTAATCCCTTATCTGCCTAGGATCCCTCAGGCTGAACAGTGGTTAAATTAAAACAGATCGATGCCAATTCCTCCTTTTCTGTAGATGAACAATATTTGCAGTGTTGTTTACCTGGGCGACACTCGATGTCGAATTCGTTTTTCTTAAGTCGTTGTAACTATCGTGCAATTTGTTCTTCTGGCGTCTTGAATTGCAGTAGCCACTTCAGGGTGGCGTGAGTAAGAGTAACTTCTGTTTATACTTGTATTTGTGGAAATGTTCGAGGATTTTGACCACAGCCAGTAGTTCTCGACCAGTGACATAATAATTTCGTTCTTGTTTCGAGAGTGTTTTAGTAAAGTACCCGAAAATACATTTCTCTTTCCGCCTTGTACTTGGGATAACACACCAACAAGTCCCACATCATTACGAGATCCATTTTGTTAAGGTCAGTCATAATTCCTTCTGGTGTATGTATTTCACTTCTATTCTAAACAGGATGCATTTCTTGGAGCTTATCTTCAGTTCTGCGGCTGACAATTTTTTGAAGACTTCAGTTGTGTTTCGGAGGCGATCATCAACAGTTCTTCCTAGTATGATGATGTCATCAAGGTAAACCAAACAGATTTTCCAATTTAATCCTTTTAATACAGGGCCAATGAGTCTTTGGTTAGTAGTCTTCTCCTTATACTGCCGTAGACCATTTCCAGTTGTAAAATGCCAGTCTTCTCCTTATAGTGTGAATGTATATCCCCTTGCTAGTATCCACTTTTCAAATCGGAGTAGAGAACCATTTAGTTCTAGTTAGACTGTTTAGTGTAACGTCGATTCGGAGTAATGGGTAGCGTCCTTCAGCGTTACATCATTCAGCTTCCTATAGTCCATACAAAATCCCGTGGAACCATCCTTCTTGCGTATCAGCACTATAGGGGAAGCCTAAGAACTTTGAGATGGTTCTACTACCCCTTACTTATGCATGTCTTTTTAAAGTTATTGACTTTTGCTTCGCCGAAGGAACTTTTCTAGGCGGTCATTTGATGGGCCTCGATGTTCCACTGTTGATGCGGTGGTATGTTAAGTTGGTCCAACCAAAGTCTTGATCTGACAAGGCGAAGACGTGTTGAAAACGGCCAAGAAGTTCTTCCAATTGTTTGAATTGATGCTTGTTGACCTGGTGATTTGACCGTTTCACTAGTCCTGTTAAAGTTGCAGGAAGTGATGTCGATTTCGTCTCAGGTTCTTCTTGCCAGTCACTGATTTAAATACTTTCAACTCTGTGCATTTTCAGATCTTTTATTCTTACGAGAATACGTATCAACAATAATGTTTTCTGTGTCAATTCACCGTTGTCGTCGTCTATTCTGGCTCTCATAGTAGTATTGGAGTAACTCGGCGGGACTCGATCTTCCTCTACGATCACCTTATAGCCTTGCAGAAGTTCCAATATCATCAGAGAACAAACAATCCGGATCCCCATGCAGCGGATAGTTTCCTCCTGGAAGTCAAGGAAAAATAAAGGTATGACTAGTAAACTTAATCTCCCGCAGTGACTCTTGTCTTCTACCTAATAATTTGGTAATTGTTTATACTTATTGTTAGTGGTTTGTTGTCTTTTAGCATAAATTAAGTTAACGGTAATTGTGCTAAATATATAATATATAGTACTGAATATATAATGTAAAAGGGAAAACAGGTGTTTTAATGATAAACGATCTCTCCTGCGCCAAGCGACCCTCTCGCAACTGCGAAATATTTATCAATATTCGCATTTAGCGCAGTTTATTGCAGTGTAATCTGAATTAAAGAATTAATTTGAACAAAATTAATATTTCGCCAGGATGTCTTCGCTTTAATTAAAAACCATAATGCTCGACAAGAAGAAAATGTATTGAAGTTGTACTGTAAATGGTAATAATGTTTCAATATGAAATGCCACTTCTTAACCTGTTGTCTGCAAAATCCACTAAAAGTTTTCCTGAGCCTCTTTTGATACACAACAGTTTTTCCACTTTCTTTCTAAGCTTGCTTGGTAGACAATAATGCTTCCACTTCAAAATTCTTTTTGTGTTTCAATTTTTATATATTTCATACTGTGTGGAAAACCCACCAAATATTTTTCTGAGCCTGTTGTGGTGAATAACACTACTTTCAGTTCAAATTTCTTTTTGTTTTCTAATTGTTTCATATCTTCTGTTGTCTAAAAAACCCACAAACGTTTTCCTGACCTTCTTTTGATGGAGAACAGTTTTTCCCTGTTTTCTTAAGTCTGTGTGGTGAACAGCAGTACTTTCACTTAAAAATCCTTTGTTTTTCAGTTGTTCCATATTTCCTGTTGTCTGCAAAACCCACCATACGTTTTCGTCAGCCTGTTGTGATTGACAACCCTTCTACTCTAAAATTACTTTTGTTTTCCAATTGTTCCATATCTCCTGCTGTCTATAAAACCTACCAAACGTTTTCTTGAGTCTTTTTTCCTAAGCTTGTAGAAAACATTGCTTCTACTTCAAAATTTTTGTTGCTTTTTAATTGTTTCATTTTTCATTTCTGCAAAATTTTTAAAACTTTTTCCTGAGTTTGGTTTGGGGTATAACAATATTTTCAGTTGAAAATTCTTTTTGTTTTTTAATTGTTACGTATTTCATGTGGTCTACAATACTCACCAAACGCTTTCCTGATACTCTTTTCCTGGACAACAGTTTTTCTATGTTTTCCTAAGTCTATACAATGAACAATACTGCTTCCACTTCAAAATTCTTTCTGTTTTTCAATTGTTTCATTTTTCCTGTTGTCTACAAAACTCATCAAAAGTCTCTTGTTGAATAACACCAACAACGTGACAACACTTCAAAATGTTTCTTTCAATATTTTAATTAGTAATTATAATAATTTGTACATATTCATTCAATAAAAGCGTTTTTTTGTTAATTTTTGATGTTTTCTAGTCATTATTTCAAACGTACGTTTGAACTGTATAAAGCACTGAAGATGCTACAGGAAGGTTGCGAAAGGACTGCTAACGGGGATCTTTAGAGGTTGTATAGCCACATGATATACATCAGTAATCTGGAGGAAGACAAGGGTTTCATTCATTCCAAAACCTGGAAGGAATGAGTACTCCACAGTGAAGAGCTTTAGACCAATTAGTCTGACGTCATTCCTGCTAAAGGCACTGGAAAGACTGGTGGACATATACATAAGGCAAGAAGTGCTGAGTAGGCGTCCTCTTCACTGTGAACAACATGCATATACTGTGGGAAAATCCACAGAGACAGTACTACATTCTGTAGTGGACTACATCGAACAAGCGATGGAGACAAAAGAAATCACAATAGGGGCTTTCGTGGACATAGAGGGAGCGTTTAGTAACACCTCTAGGGATTCCATTGATGCAGCTCTGTCCAGTGGAAATACCCCATGGCCCATCAAGAGATGGATCAGGGGGATGCTAATCGACAGGACAGTATACAGCGAATGAAAAGGTAAAACAGTGAAGGAGAAGATCAACGAAGGATGTCCTCATGGGGGAGTTTTATCACCGCTCCTGTGAAATCTGGTAGTTGACGACCTTATATGGCTGTTAGGGAGAGATAGAATACGAACCGTAGGGTATGCCAATGACTTGTATTTGCTGGTGAAGGGCAAGTTTGAGGAGGTACTAACGGACATCATGCAGGGAGCTCTATCGAAAATTAGAATGTGGTGTCAGGAAAAATCTCTGGCTGTTAATCCAGATAAAACAGAGATTGTCTGTTTCACGAGGAAGTGCAAAAGGAAAGAGATAAAGGAAATAATCTTCTGTGGGCAAAAGATACCGTATGCAGGAGTTAAGTATCTAGGTGTACATATAGATAAGAAATTGGAACTGGCTGGGGGCTTGAACCCCAAAAAGACTCTATGGATATATGAGGCTATACTGAGGCCAAAACTGACCTATGCTGCAACGATATGGTGGAAAGTAACCGAAAAAAAGACCTCAAAGGCGATCCAGGATCACATACAGGCAGTTGTCCTGAGAGGGTCTTTCGGGCTAAAAAGAAGCACGCCTATAGCTGCGGTCAGGATTATGCTGGGGATATGAAAGGACTGGACCTGGAGATCAGGGAACAAGCCGTAAGAACAGCATACCCATACAGCACATGTTTATCCATAGGATGTTAAAAGAACATCCATCTGGGATTTTAAGGATATCTTATACAGATCCGTTTCATGTTCGGCGGACGTCTTCAGGATGTCGTATGGATAGACGAATGTCACAGTTTCGTATATTCATAAAACATCCACAAAGGACGTTTGAAAAACATACGAACGGGACATTTATAGGACATTTTAGGAATGATATATATGTATTGTATATAATGTATATATATATTTGTTATCATATTTTTTGATGGAATAGGCTGTCTCTTTATACAAACGCATATAAATCTCAACCTAACTTTATTGCATACAAACAAAACAATATCTTATTTGAACATTATGAATAAATACAAGGCATTACAATAAGGAATTTCCTTTATTTTTTGTGATTAATCGTTCTTTTGCTCTTCGTAAATAATTTTTAATCGCTTCTTCTAGATCCTTGCTTGAACAACTAGATGTTGCCTGATTTAATCCAGCAGCATCTGTGGAATAGAAAAGAAACATATTAATAGTTTTTAAAAAAATATTAGTATGTAACTTATGATTAATCATACCTATCTAAATTTACTTACCTAATGAAAACTTATAATCCTATTTTATTAATTAGTAACCTACTTATTATCAGTCTAGATAGATGGAGATGACAAAATACTTCCTTCTTTTTGGCATCTAACCAGTTATATCTTACTAAAATATCGTCCGACAAAATTTTTGTAAACACCCTCTTTACAAATTTCGTAGGGAGTACGTCCGCCAATTCTTACAACTTCTTGTGCCTAAAAAATATTAACTGCAAGTATTTCTACACAAAACTAATTAAGCAAATTTATCGATAATAATAATAAATTTTCGTGATTAAGAAATATATTTATTACAGATTCATTTTTAGAGATAATATTTTCTGGAAAACGAGATGTAACAGGCAACTGGAATTGTAGATTTAATTTATTCGTAGTGCAATTATTATTATCTGCGTATTTCTGACTAAAGATATATTTTTTTTGGTATTATATAGATGCTATTAATAAAGAAATTTCAGATGTTTTTTAGCGACCCTGTATCGCTGTCTCGGCAATTTTAATTTAACCATCACGAAAAAATATTGTTAAGTACGTTATTATTATCACTTACCTGATTTTGTATCGATTTACTGAATAAAAATTCATTTTACTTACGAACAAGATATAGACAAGACGTTTACGTTTAATACGATTAATACAAACACCTTGGGAAATCCCACAATCAGGCGGTTACCAGACAACGCTATTCACTAACCTAAATTATTATTAATCGACAGTAATGGACTTTGGCCTATTACAGACTATTACAACCCATGTTATAACGTTACCGCTGTTACGATTTGCAAGGGCAAAAGCAAATTCTTTGGCGCCGTTTTATAAAACAATTTTAATGTAATGACGTCAGTGATACTAACGCCACATTATAAAACATACATAGAATACATAGGTACATATGTGCCCACATTTTAATATGTATTTTATAATAATATCTGCTGATATCCACTGGATATCCGATGTATGTCCTATAAAGACACCAGTACATATGTCCAATGAGGATATACATAGTATGTCCTCAACTAATCCCTTAAGGAGATTGGACATGATGGACGCAATAGGGACATAATCGTACATCCATAGGATATTGCGTGCTGTATGGGTGAACTCCTGAACCTCATACCAAGAAACATACTTGCGGTACCGCAAGATAGGATGAACAGGCGAATCCAGTTTGGGGGAAACTTTATAACAAGGATACCAAACAGGGAGGAGTGGAAGGATAACAAGGCACTGGGACACGGAGAAATCTGGTTGACAGATGGATCCAAAACAGTCAAAGGAGCAGGATACGGGATACAAGCTCCTCACAACAAGAAGGGGCTGTCCCGTAACCTAATAGAGTATAACACGGTATTTCAGGCAGAAATTGCGGTGTGTGTAAAGCTTATAGAGGATAGAGTCGAAGGCAGAGATTTACAAATCTGCACTGATAATCAAGCCTCTATAATGGCACTGGAGAAGCCAGTACTACCTCTAAGCTGGTTCAAAGGGTGAAAGATACCTTAAATGAACTAGGAACGAGGAATAGAGTAAGTATTACCTGGATACCTGGTCACTCGGGATACAAGGGTAACGAAAACGCTGACAAACATGCAAAGCAGGGAGCAGATATGGAAGAACAACCGGACGAGGAGGTAGGAATACCATACCAAGAAGGAAACAACGCTATTAGTAGAATCATGGGAAAACAAAAATGGAACACCTGGGCAGCAACTCTGGGACTAGATGGTCCAAGGAGCTGCTCGGGAAATACATAAAATAGCTGGAACATGGAGCTAAGGAACATGAAGAGGAACGAGGCGCGTCTTATCCTAGGATTGTTTACTGGGCACAGCGAGCTTAGGTGCTACACCCACAAAACACAGGGAAGAAGTTACCTATGTAGATGGTGCGAAAGCGAGGAAGAAACCCCGAGACACGTAATCTACGAATGCCCAGCATTAATGGAGAAACGACAGAAATGTCTGGGGGCTAGATTAATAGATAGAGAACTTTTTAAGGAGCTATGCAGGAACCTGGAGAAGCTGCTGTGTTTTGGCAGGGCAGCTGGTCTATGGACACCTGAGTGAGAAACGGGGTGATGGGGATACAATGGTCTGACGACTCGGTATCCCTGAGCATTTTTGCATCCTGTCTCACAGTCATCAATAATAATAATAATAAATAGTCATTATTTTGGTAAAGTTATACTTTGAAATGTAACTAACCATTTTCAATCAGAAACAAACCATATTTTTGTTGAAAATGGGTTTTTGCATTTTAAATTCTAACTTCATCACTAAAAAGCTTAAAAATTAGAAACAAAACTTGAACCTGTTTAAATTTCGCGCCTTTCCAGACAACTATTCAGAGATGACGCTGATAGTTCAAAATGAAAAATCGAGATTTCGATGTATGACGGTATATATTTCTTTAATCTATGGAGTAGTTCAAAAAGATCTATTCCGCTTAATCCTAGCAACCTATCATTAGTTGGTTAGAGCCACGTGCGTACGTAAATATTAAAAAATATACTTATTAGTGTCTTTAAATAATGTGAAGTCTAAATGTGTTATTAAAAGCTCTGAATATTTTGAAACAGAAAAGCTTGACTTGTATCAGCAGTAATAACATATTAATAAATTTGTCTGCAAAATGAAAAACAAATCATCACGACACAAGGAGAGTAACTTATTTAAGGTATTTCTAAGTTTTAATAAGTACTTACTAGTTAAACTGTTCCAATTTTAATTTTGCAGTTTCAACCATTTTCTGAAAGAATATCAAATCTAGATATCTACGTTTTCCATAAAGTTGGGCACGAAAATGAATTGCAAGTTGACGAACTTCAGTGCCGATTTTATGAAACTCTACAGAAATGGAGTGTTCTTAATTTGAGTGAAGGCTTTTCCCAGTTTAAGAAAGATGTAAATGCACAATTTTTGATCACCCTTCCACAGTTAATCCACAATAAGGAGAATGTGATCGAAGTATTATTAAAGTATTTGGATATGAAGAATCCTATGTTTCTGCAACCACTTTTAGAGTGAATATAATTTTAATAAATTTGAGTGAAGATACGAATCTGTTACTTCTTTGTTTATTTTAGATTAACATCAGCTTTAGTTGAAGATTTAAGAAATGAGTTCTACCCATATTTTCTTAGATTCTTAAAAACTCTGATTGATCTTCTATATTTAAAAGATGCAGAAGGGGTAGAATGGGTATTTACATGTTTAGCATACATATTCAAATTTTTGTGGAAATTTTTATCAAGAGATATAACTATTGTGCTAAATAGTGTTTTACCTCTACTTTCCGATGACAAACCAGACTATATTGTTGACTTTGCATCTGAGAGTTTCTCATTTGTAGCACGCAAAGTTGGGGACCTTGAAGCGTTTTTAGAACTAATTCTAGAAACAGTTCATTCAAGAAAAGATGTAAGTGAATTTTTTATTCTTCCTTGTTCTCTTGATACTATTTTAATATTTTAGGCAATAATTGGATGCAGTAAGCTACTATTTGAAATTATTCATGGTAGCTCGGGTTATTTTCATAGTTGTGCAGAATTATGGTTACCATTTATGTTTCGCTCGTTAGCTAATAACAAATATTCACAAATAGTGCTTTTTGAAATTGTAGAGCATATTGTTGCAAATATACTGCAACATATACTTCCAGAAAAAGCAGATCTGTTTTGGAATACAAGCATTACTGTTTTAAATGAATTTTACAACAATTTATCTTCTGATTCTCAGCTAATAGGTTTTGCCTGCGAAAATCTTTTAAGGATTATTCATCAAGCAATTAAATTTAAGAATGGAATTTTTTTGAAAAATTCACAAAAAATTGTTAATCAACTTGTGAAGCTTTTTAATATCTCAAAATCAAATGAGTCTCTCTTACGAACAGTTGTGCAGTTGTGTTCTACGGTTCTTGTAGCACGAAATATAGATTTATCTCAAGAACAGACAAGCCAAATAATTGCAAATGTTCAGTCATTAAATCTGAGGAGTGCATATTTGTGTTTTGTTGATAGTTTAATTGATTATTCAGGATTTGATTTGCTTATTTTTCCTAACTTTGTAAGATTTTGTGTTAATGCAACTGAATTGGAAACAGATAGTCTAAATACATTGACTAAAATCATTTTAAAGAAATCTCCCTTTTGCAATAACGGCATTTTATTGGATGCATGGAAAAGATATCCAATTAGTTTGTCTTGTCAACAAGACAAGTCGTTTTTTTTAAAGAATATGTTGCACAAATTAAATGACATGGAAAATGAGGTAAATAATTATTTATCTGCTGTAATTTGTTTACCTCATATAAACTTGAAGTCCAGTGAAATTGAAAAAAAGTTGGTGGAGAACAGCGAATTACTTTTAGAATTGCTGCATTCAAAACAAAAAGAAATGACCTCAGAAAATAAAAAGGAGTATCTATTTTTATTAATGTGTACTGTACAATGTATGGTTCATCTTAATGTTCATTATATGCTAAACTGTGACAAAATAGTGGAAACATTATTACCATTTTGTAGTGATGTACATTTAATCGAAAGTTTACAAATTTTAAGTCTTTACTTAAGTAAACTGAAAGAAGATAAAATGTGTTTAAGCTTTCAAATGTTGTTGAAAATTAACGAACATTTAGAGGATAATTTTACTTCACCTTTTCATGATGTAAGTAAAATTAATTCAAATTCTGTGGTTAATCTGTAATATTAAATTTCTAGGTACGACTTTTGATTACACATATTTATTCATTGTTTGAAAATCTTCCCTATTTCATTGAAATCGGCACCGATTCTAAGGAAGTTTGGAATTTATTTAGCATTTGTTTTCAAATTGAATCAACTGAGTTTCAAATTCATACAGTTAATGGTCAGTTGCAACTTATTGAAAAGCTGTCATTTCAAAGTACGCAAATGCAAATGTGTAAATTAACACCCTTTAAATTGGTACCTTTAAAGTACCTTTGTGGGTTGCTGTATGTGAATTTTCAACTTTTGTGGAATCCAGTTTCCAAGATAATTTCAACTTATGCCATCAATGCTATGGAAATAAGCGAATTCTGGACAGTTTTTGGAACTCAACTAAAGTTGGTGAATCAAGATGTGAACAGCTCGTCAGTAGCGAAAATCAAGTTTTTGGATGAATATGTCAACAGTACATTGCTGAATATGAACGTACGGGAAGAAAAAATAGATTACTGCAATTATCGAATACTGTTATGGAAAACTATGGCTATCTTTCCAGAAATCGCAGAGGCGAAAACTAGAGATACTTCAGAATTACTTTTGTCATTTATAAAGTGAGTAATTTTAACATTTTTGTTTTATTTTATAATTATATAAGCTTTTTTTAACCTCTGGAGTTTTTTGAATTAAACAATTCATTAATGGTAAGTATTTTAACAAATAAAAGTTAATGAATAATAATACTAGTACCAATAGGCATAATATATATCTTGTGAATAAAAAGAAACAACACGCCTGGCAAACTATAACTGTTACATGTACCTATTGTACTCTTTAAATATTCTTATATAAACGAAATTTTATCGCGTGACGAGCATTTGTTTAAGTTACGAAGAATTCATTCTCCCCTGCACTTTATACGGCCTAACAAACTAGGATGCTGCTCCCTTCACACGCGTGGCACTTACTCTATGTATAACGGTGCATATAACATTTTTGATTTTAAAAAGGTATTAACAATACAGTTTCAATGATGAATTCATGTCCGTAAATCACTTAGTTTTTCTAGTTAAAAATTTAGCTATTTTCTAGCAGCATTAAATGTAAAATCAACATGATGTTTGAACTATAGGTATTTATCAAATGTAACTCCTAAGTTTTTAGCCCTAGAAGGCTAGAAGCATGCCTATTTATCGAACTATCACTTGAATAATTTATTTAATATGAATTCTGTTCAATGCTTCAAATGCTTATTTTGTTCAGTCATCACAAAGATTTTTATGTTTAATTTCAAATTAAGTATTTGTAGTTATATACATGGAAAAAATATGTTTCTATTATTTTATTTATATATAAAGTCGAACTTTTATAACTCGAAATCTTTTCTAACCCGAATTCTTTTTTGTTCCTTTGACATACATGCCTTTACATTTATTCCAAGCTCTTTAATGCAAGATTTAAGTGCGGATTTTACGTTCAGAATTGTCTCTTCGTTTTTATGATTGTTATGGTTATACAACAATCATGTGTACCAATATTGAATTGCTGTCGGCCTTTTCGGGGTTTGGGTTAAAATACGTGTTTACCGTATTTGCTAATGGTTGTCGTGTCATCGGGCGATGAGGCACGTATGTACTTAATTAACAACAATAATGTATGTGAAAACGATATCTTCGAAACAAAAATTAAAAAATTTGACGATAAAGAAATTGCGAATCTTCTCTAACGTGAACATATTTGGTTGCATTTAAGAGTGTTTGCCTGTATATAAAACTCCGAATTGAAACAGCAATAATTTAACTGAATGCTATTAATTCTATTAATATGTACTAGGTTAATATATGCTTTTTTTCACTAATTAAAGTAACTTATTTTAATTCATGTACTTGTCTTATAGAAATGAGTACAATAATTTGGCAATGGATTTTTCAAAAACATGGAATATTAAGTTACACAATATTGGAAAAGAAAATAATTCGAAGGAAAATGTAATAGAATGTTCAGATCAGGACAAAGAGAAGAAGTATAAACAAAATATAAAAAGCAAAGAAAGGTAAAGTAAAAAAAAACAATTAAACTTTTAATCCAGAACTTTTAAAATTATTCTTATATTTTNAGCAAAAATTATAAAGGAAATATTTATTGATCTTTAAAAAGTAAACAATTTTTGACCGTAGGTTTTTTATAAAATTAGAAACTGAAACTGTAGGTAGTTAAAAATTGTGTTTATTTTTTAGAATATGTAGGAAAACTCGTTTTTGTCATAATAATTGTTCATAACAAATGTATGCGTAATTTTACCAAAAGTGTTATTATTATTTTAATGCCCTATTCTAGATTAAAAAAGAAAAACGTGAAATCGGACCGAAACTAACTGAGACATTGGATTTTTAATCGTGATATATTAGATTGCTAGATTAATTGCCTGTCCGCCTAACAGAGATTACTTACTCCACTATCTTTGGCATTATCTTTTAATATTGTAAAACGCTCATTTTGACAGATACAATAACAAAAGTTTAAGTATTATACTAGCCGTAATAAATTTCAGCAATTACTCGTTTCAAATCAAAAAGTCTTAATTTAGTTAGGAAAAAACACGTTACGGGTGAACAAAGATGCACTAGTTTTTCCCTTAACAAAACAAACTTTATTAAAAAAACAAACACTTAAATTTATACAAAAGACAAAAAAAGATGAGTCCGTGTGTGGCTCGAGATTTAATTACAACGAGTTACTAACACTATAGTAAATCTAATCGCAAGTCGCGAAAACAAGTCAGTTAAAACACTAAACACAGGTTTCTCTCAGAATGCCACTCTAATGTTCCAGAGGAAAGCTCTTAGAGGGAAGGACAAGATGAATTCTGTGTTCTGTATGTTTTTTTTTGTTTTGTTCAGATTATTCTCGAGGAGGAGGACTAAAACCCCTCCTCGAGTAGGGAGATTAACCCGAAGGTTGTGACTTCCATGGGAAGATTTATTAGGAAGATTGGGGAGGGGAGGATGGTGTGGGTGAGAATAGGTGTCCCACCATGAAGAGTAGGGTGGGTACTCGCGCTAAAATGCGAAACTAGAATTGAGCAAAAGTGAGCAGCTCAAAAGAGAAGATGACAGGGCCTTCTGAAACGGTCGTTTGGTTTAGGGGTGAAGCCGGAAAGTGTCAAGATGGACGGGTTTCGGTGGCCTGACACTGAAATCCTAAGATTTGCTGCGAATTTGGTTGCAGCATCGGGGAGAGAAGGTAGACCAGTTTCTTTCAGAATTTGGGTATTTCTGATGAACCATGGGTAGTTGAGTGTGGAGCGAACAATCCGCATGTAAGTGCCTTGAAGAATTTGAAGACGTCGGGGATGGGTGCAGCGCCAAATGGGGATGGCGTAGGATGGTTCCGATGATTGCGTTAAACGCACGGATTTTCGTTTGTTGGGAGATGGAGTTATTTCGGAAGAAAGGTTTAAGTGTGATGAATGCACCCACGGCCTTGTTACGGGTAGCTGTGGTGTGGTGCCGCCATTTTAAGGATCTGTCGAAAACGATGCCTAGGTAAGTGACGGAGTTGCTTCATTTGATTGGACGATTGTTTACGATGATGAAGGGAGGTTTTTGGAACTTACGTGAGAAGAAAATTGCTTCCGATTTGGTCTCGTTAATGGAAAGTTTACATTTCGGTACCGATTTAGGAGCAGGGGTAGAAACTTATTAATTCTCGCTGTGCTTTGTAGAATGGTTTGGGAAGAGTTTATGAGGACAATGTCGTCAACGTAAAGAACAGTCAGAATCGAAGTGTAGGAGGGCATGTCCGCTCAAAACAGTTTGGAGCCTTATGGGATACTGCCTGTGACAGTTTTATTGGCAGGAAGAACAGAGCCAACGCAGACCCGAAGGTTTCTCTCTGTGAGAAAGGACCTGATAACCCCAAATAGAAAATGTGGGATGTTAAGGACGATGAGTTTAGAGATAAGGCCTTCGTGCCAGACTCGGTCGAAGGCTTGTTGGACGTCAAGAAGAAGCTTAGAGGTGTGGCGCCGCTTGTTAAGGTTGTTGGAAATGTGTTCGGTTACACGAAGAAGTTGGTGGTCGGTGCAATGATGCCTGCGGAAACCGTGTTGAAAATTGGGGAGAAGGTTGTTTTGCTTCACGTGGTCTAAGAGCCGATCGAGAAGAATGGATTCAGCTACTTTGCTCAACGAACTGAGCAGGCCTGTATCTTGAGGGAGAGCTGATGGGCTTCCCCTGTTTAGGGAGACAGATGACAGTGGCTTCTTTCCATACCAAAGGGAAGTAGTGGAGCCGCATGATGGCGTTTACGATGCTGCACTGTGCGGTTATGTGCTTTGGTGACAGGACTTTAAGGACTCCGTTAGCAATTCCGTCAGCGCCAGGCGCTTTTCTTTTTTTCAGAGATCGGATGGTGAGGAATATTTCACGCGAGGACGTGTGTTTGAAGTCGCAAACAGAGGGGACAAAGTTTTGAGATATGGCTTGATCTCGGAAAACTCTCTAATGCTTTGTGCATTCCAGGTATACAAAGATTATGTGGGTGGGCTGAATTACACATTGATAGGCGTTTGTAGAACGGCGACCAGACTTGCTACCATCGATTGAACAATGGCCTAGATTCTCTATTCAAGAGAAGAAGCTGCAGAGGTGTTTGGGGACGCATTGCGTTTTTGAGAGGGAGGGGGGAGCTGCTGTTACTGCCCTACCCCTTTTTGGTTCAAATTTTTCATTGAGACCGCAGACCTTGCCAAGTTCGAAGATTGACTTGGTCTTTGGAGAGGTTTGCCGCGGATGGCAAAGCCTTTGTGAACAAGTTCGGCTTTGATCGTCTGGAGATGTCTTCGCAAACTCCACGGAGGACAACATGGAGATCGCGGGAAGTTGGTTTGTAGAAAACTGAACTTTGGATTCGTCAAGGAACAATGAAAATCGTCCACGGAGTTAGAATAGACTCTTATAAAATTATATTACCCAACGTGTGGCGATGCAGTGGCTGTCCATAGTGCGAAGAATTTTCGGCCAAAGGGACTTTTGGCGGATTCCGATGGGGGGGGGGCATTGGTGGCTCGGTGCCGGTCTTCTTCTCAGAATCAGAGAACATTGAAGAGGTCGAAGACAGAAAGGTGGCACGTCTTCGGCGTTTGTTACGCCGCTTTCCGACTTCTATGAAACCGTCAGCGGCAGTGGGGGGGGGGTGACTCTGAATCGGATAATTGAGCCCGGGTGGCAGAAGAATGCACAACGTCTTCGCACATTGGCGATGAAGGGACTCCTTCGAAATGCTGATGGGGGAAATCGTTTATTATGGTGAGCTTGGTATGGCTTGGTTGGCTCGCTCGCCAAGGCATTACTTCCCCAATGGAAAGTCCCTCCAAGAGTGCTGGGTTCATGGGGGTAGCCATTTCGAAATGACTGACAAATGAAGCTAACCTACTCCTGTGGGTCGTAGAGTATATGGTATGAAATAAGGAAATGTTAGGTGTTTATTGTTAGTTTAATTGGTGGGGGGTGAAGGGATATCAGAGCGACGTTGCATACTCCGTCCAAAGAACTGTTGGATAGTTACCTAAAACGGCTGGGCAGTTGTTGAACTCTTGTAGATATTGTTGAATATTAAACCACCGGGTTTAATGCGTCGTCGCTATGCAGACAGTAATAACTGCCGGTTGTTGTACTCGTCGGCTGCGGTAGCTAGTAGAAAACGGTAAAAATTATTGCTGATCGCACGTAAGTATAAGAGCTTGAATACGAGCTCGTATGAGTGTTCTGTATGTAAACCTTGGGTGTTTCATTCCCACCAGCCACTAATGCAGGTGAGCGGGCAGTCCCCCCGGACTACGCTGGAAGGTAGGGCGGAATCTTCAGCCTCCGTTTAGGAATCGTGGGTTTTGATGTAGGTCAGTGGGCCTCGTGGTGATTTTGCTGGAGAGGGTTGCTGGCGATGGTAGATTAGGTTAGATTATGTATTATTAATTAATTTTTATTTTACTGTTATTGTGTCGTTTGTAACTAATAATTAGAGAGACACTGTATCATTTTATAACCACTTTTATTATTCAACTTATGTCTACATACTATATTACATATCTACGGTATCGTTCGTACTAGTATAGAAAAACTCTTAGTTGGTTATGACAGTTCTCTCACGCTTATTTAAAAAACATTGTAGCAAAATGTGTGAAAAATATTCTTACAACATAATGTGTCATGTAATAGATGGCTAATATTTAAACGGAAAATGTTTTGTGTGGGACGTATGAAATTCAATTGGTATTCGAACTTGAACTCAACATTGAATTCTTAATATGAAATCGCGAAGGTGTTTTGGTAGTTGTTTAGCTCTTGTAGTTGACGTACAGTCGCTTCTAGAGCCTGGTCTTGTTCGATTGCTGATTCGTCTTCAATGACTTCTGATTCATGCATGTTAACTGCAACATCACCTTCTTGATGTTCTTCGTTAAATTGATTTGGTCGACTTGAAGGAATGTTGACCAAGTCTCCCATCTCAATGCTCTGCTCATTATTTCTGGTGCAAACGTTACTGTTTTCTTTGGTTATTCCCGTAATGCTAGTTGTGGAACTTTAGTTGAGTAAAGTTGGTTGATATGACGTTTTAAGGTTTATCCGTCCAATTTCACTAAGTAGTGTAGATGACCATGTTTCCGCATTATTGTCCCGAATTTTGATTGATGTTTATTGTCTCTTACGACAAGCGGAGATCCCCAGTCGCTAATTTCTGCTTTTGTTAAAATGCCTGCCGCTTCGAGAGCAACTTTGTTGAAAAGTGCATGAAGTATTTCTCTCTTCCGGTAAAAAATAGGTTTTGCGTTTTCTCGAAGTTTTAAGCTAAATTTTAAATTTGAAACGCAACCAATCCTTTCTTTGAAAATATCAGCAAATTGCATGATAATATAATTTCATCAGTTTCGTTAATGATACTTATAGGCATTGAATTCCATTGATAATCTTTGGTGATGTTTCCGGATCCAGGCTAGGTCTAAGATTGCATCTTAATCTTCCGGAACAATGTAGATGTCATCTTTGATGGTATTAGCACTTCGCTCTTCATATTTCGCTTAGTATCACCTCGTCGCTATAGCTTGAACTAACTCTTCCTATCCGCGGTAACTATTTTTAGCGGCTGGACTTGCTCTAGAAAGATCGAGAATGTGACATTTAGAAAGAGTGGTCTTATTTGCTACTGTCTCTGTATGATGGGTTGCTTTTACGTGATACTGTTCTACTAATAGTCCAGTCAACCAACGGCTTAGGACTCGAAGTTATATAATATTGCTAATGTTCGTGAATAACATCTCTTCTCTAAAAAATAACCCCAGGAATCGATAGAAGAGTGAATTTGAAGTAAAAAATGTTCTATAAAGTTTCTTCGATAGATCAATACTTTTCTAGTTATTCGCGATTGAAAATGTTAATTTTTCATCTAAAAAATGCATGTCTTAAGCGTCTTGAACTATAATCAATAAAAGGCAAACTTTCAAAAATTCCGGAGGCATGAGCGGCTCCCCTTTTCTATATTTTTCATTACAAATACTTAATATTATATTTACATTTTGTAATTTATTTCATATTTATTCTAGTTTTAGTATAAATAGTACGTATAAGTTTGTAAATTGACTATTTCTTTTCAGGACCATTTCTGCAATTTTAAATGTTTTTGCAAAAATAAGAAGCCCAATGTCTATGTTCCGAGAATCTGAACTCAAGCAGCTGTACTTAGATTTATTATCTTACAAAAATAGTGAGGTACAAAAGTTAGCATTAGACTGTTTAATGACATACCGACATGAATACCTAATGGCATACAAGGAGCAATTGTATAATCTCGTAGATGATAAAAATTTTAAAAACGAAATATCCCTCTTCAGAATCAATAAGGACTCTTCTGTTATACAGGAAAAACATCGTCAGTCCCTTATTCCTATTATTTTAAAAATTGTATTTACCAAAATGACTTCTAAAAGTGGCTTAAGAACTGGTGGGAAAGGTTTCGGGCAGATACGCAGAAATTTAGTCCTCCGTTTCCTTTCGGGATGCTACGAAAATGAAATTGAGATGTTTGTACATATGTCCTTCAAATTTTACTCAAAATATATTTATGGAGATCAATTTAGTGTGATTATAAACATTTCTAATGAGTGTAATTTGGAAAAGTTTGTTCCGCTTAAACGGCTTCAGAGTAGTGTCAATTTACTTACTTTAATATTAGAAGAACTGGGGGGTTCTTTAAGTGACAATCTATTACAATATTTATTGAAAATATTAATGGTTATTGGAGCATTTGTGAAAGGCATTTTTTCTCAGATCTCATTAGTGCACGCAGGCTATAGGGACATTTTGAAAAAGTTGAGGTCATCTTTATTAAGGGTACTCGAAAAATTTTTTGACCACTTCGATAAATATCCATGGTCATCTGAAGAAATTGATACTGTTTTTGAGATTTTTGTATGGCCATATTTAGAACAATTGGAAATCGAGGGCATTCACAGTCCCAGTGCGTTACTTCGTTTATTTTTACAATGGGGATCAAGGCCAAGATATTTTGAGTTATTAATTAAATATTACGCAGATGATAATGACTTCACTGCAATGGCTTTTATAATAAGATTGCTGCTCAAAAAATCGACGCATGCTTCTGTAAGCAAAGTGATTATGGAAATGATAAATTATTTGTTGACATTTAAAGATAATGAATATGAGCAGGATACCTTACGAATATTGGTTAATAGTACGTTGAGCTTGAAAAATAATCCAGTACATCAAAATTTAGAAAAAAAGAATCTAAGCCTTGGAAGTTACATTGTGTTACCTCATGTGCCATCTATTTTGATTATGATAAAGAATAAATTGCACAGCAGAAAAGGCTTGACCACAACCGAATTGTCTGTTTTGTGCAGTATTTCTGAATTTGTGTGGGACTGTGAATCGAGTAAGGCTGTTTTGGACCTTATGATACCGCTTTTCTCAAAAATGTTTGATTTACCTGATGATAATCTTTTAAAATTCATAATGATTATTGATAACTTAACTCAAAAGATTGATCAGCCTCAGAAATACTTAACAAAACTTTTGCCCTACTTTGGTGAAGTTTCCTACAAGCCTGCTAGGAAGCAACTCTGCGAAATTTTTAACAAGGCTAAAACAAAATCCGATACTGCAGCATTTAACACTTTAGCGAGAATTATAAACGAACTCAATGCGTGGGACGACAAATGGATTGATCAACCAAATTTTGAGAAAAGAATAGAATGCTTTAAAGAAATTAATTTGTTAATGGAATCTAAAAATGTAGAAATAGAATTAGGATTAGCAATATTTTACAATTGTTGTTACATGTTAAAATATGAAAGTGATATTTCTCTAAAGGAGAAATCCAGTCATTACTGGAAAATAATATCCAATGAGCTATTGAAAAACTTTTATGATAAAACATTTTATTTATTAGATGAACATTTATTTGTTATTATCTGCGAGGGGATTAAAAGTAAAAATGAAGAATTTAGGAACGAATGTATTCAACTTTTAGGGTACATTGCTAGACATTGTCCTGATTCCCACATTGTTTTAAAACAATTGAATAAACTTACTAGTGAAACTGATTTGGAAGTAGATTTCTTTGAAAATCTCACGCATCTCCAAATTCACAGACATGTTCGAGCTTTACTGAAATTTGTAGATGTATTTACTAATAACGTTGATAGTCAATGCAATCGAACATTAATTCAATTTATTTTTCCACTCGTGTCGTGGTATTTGTGTAATGAAAAATACGTCTCAAAAAACAGTCTCATTGATGCTTCTATAGAAGCTGTAAAAACTATTTGTAAACTTTTACCGTGGAACCAGTATGGAAATTTGTTAAGAATGTATATGAACAAACTAAGATATAAAACCATTTTTAAAAAGCAGTTAGTCCGTGTAATTGTGGCCATATTAGATGCATTTAATTTTGATCTACGTAGTGGTTGTGCAAAAAGCATTGAAGAGATTGCTAGCTATCAAGAATTTGAGAAAAAGGAGAACATACAAGTTTCAGAGACGAAAAAAGAAGAAGCGATGGTAACTGAAGACGAAAAATCTTTAGATCAGCAAATGGAAGTGGAAGTGATGTCTGACTACCCTGAAATGGAAATAGATGAATGTGTGCATTCAATTCATACTGATGCTTCTGAAAAAGTATTCCTATTATCATCTGCAACTGCATCTAAAGTGATACATACTATTCAGGTATTATTTGTATGCATTGCGATATACGTAGGTACATCAACGTTGCTTATTACGCAATATTGATATACTTAGATAATATAAAAGTACTTTTATGTGAAGTTTTAAATTAAGCGGGTAAAATAAATTTTGAATGATTTGAGTCTCCACGTTCTATAATAATTTAAAGAATTCTTATTTTTACCTTATTGCAGAACATATTATTTAGCTAAACATATTCTTTATTATTTTCTAAGTGATTTCACCTTTTTAATCTAAAGTGCGGTTTCATCAAAATTTTTTTTTTTTTTTAGATTTGTGTACCTCTGAAGGTTAGATTACGGTTTGAAAGGATTCCCTTATTTTAAATTTAAATATAATCATAACTTAATTTTAAAACTTTTAATGAAAACTAAATATTCCAGGTGAAGTCAGTTTTTTAATTAAGAACCTGAAAACACTCAGGATTATAAAATAGAATATGAGTTGGTTTCATTATTTACTCTGGTTTTTAATTAAAAACCTGATTTCATTGTTTCTTTGATACATAGTAATGCTTAATATCATTGTTTACAGAAAATATTTTTGCCACAACTGTTTAGGCTTCTGGCAGAATATTCACACTACGATTCGTTTCACAAACTTAATAAAAAGAAGACTCTTAACGAAAAGGAAGAAGACGATTTACAAAAAATTCCCATTTCATTAGCTTTGGTTAAATTGTTACAAAAGTTGCCAAAAGAAATACTGGATAAAAATTTACCAATGTAACAATACGTTCAAATAGGAAACATAATATATTTATTGTTTTTCATTTTAGGATTTTTATGAAACTAGCAACTTTTTTAAAATCACACTTAGGAAGTGTTCGTCGAATTGCCAGGGAAACATTTGAGCAAATTATGTGCGTGGTGGGACCAAAGTACTTAAACACATTTTTAGATGCAATACAACCCCTACTACTAAGAGGATTTCAAGTGCATGTTCTTGTTTATACTGTACATGGAGTGTTGGCTTCTCTGAAAGAAATGTATGAACCTGGTGATATGGATAAAATAATTATTACTGTATTAAACGTAAATAATTATTTATTGTTCATTAAAACGCAATTAGAATAGTTTTTTCCATAGATTTGCAAAGCTGATTTATTTGGAACTCTGGCTGAAGAAAAGGAAGTAGAGAAAATACGAGTAAAGATTCCTGAAGCTAAAACCACCAGAAGTTACGAAACACTCCAAATTTTGGCTTTATTTGTTACCGAAAAATATTTAATGGACATAATCGTACCGTTAAGATCAGTATTGTTGAATTTGCGATCGTTTAAAAATAATAAAAAAATGCAGGAATGCTTTCGATATATTGCACTGGGATTGGTAGCAAATAAATTCATCACGTATGAGTATCTAATGAAAATTTCATATGGAATAATATCGCAAAATATACCAGAACTTTTTTCAACACAAGCAAATAAAAAGAAAATTGGCGAAAAATACAAACAAAATGCACTTTTGACGGAGAGAAGTGATTGTCTTATTATTCCACCTGTGGTAATGGACAAATATGAAGCAAAAGGAATGGTAGCGAGAGTTTCTGATAACATGAATAACTATGTTCTGGTAACATTTGGACTTAACATTTGCCTTAATTTAATAAAAATGGACCATCCAAATAACACTTGTTATAAAAGTTTTATGGACCCATTTATCAAACTATTTCGAGATTGTTTGAGTTCTCATCATGTGAAGGTACTTAGTGACATTTTGAAATTTTTTAAGAGTTAGGCATTACTTTACGACTGATGCTAGAGAGCCGTTAATGGTTCTTAATAGGGAATCGAAAAACGTCCGTGACGTCACATAATGACGTTTTCCAGCTCAGCAAAGTGTACAACTTATTGTGAGATGTAAGGACATCTAACCACTTATCAGAGTAATATGACGTCACGGTTTCTCCACCCTTTCATCAAAAGTCGTTAACGGCTCACTAGCCTCTGCGTTACCATACTGTAAATAAACATGTTTTGACGGATCTAAAGAAGAAAATTTATGGGAATTTTAAAGATAAATAACAAATTATGATTTGGAAATTAGATTTCCTTTGTAGTAATAATAGAACAATAAAAGGAAAAAAGGGCGAAATAAATTTATAACTTTAAAAACTAACCTTCAAGGAGTCCGATTATAGAGATGAAACGTTAGTTATGGTTATTATATAAATAAATTTATTTCACCCTTTTTTGACCCTGATTGCTTTATGATTGGTTTTAAATTATGGATCAGTATCAACGATTGCACGTTATAGAGAATATAAGAACTTTGTTATTGTACACACTATAAATCAACAACGTTACTATTAAACTCAAGAGTAAATCAATAATTATTTAAAGTTAGTATATTGTGCATCAAAAAACATACCATAACTAGCAATCACAAACCACGCAATTTCAGGTTTCATCTCTAAATCAGCATACCTACTTTTTTAACGACTATTGGTTTTTAATTTTTATACTTCTTGCATAATACTTAATTTACTCGCTGTCAAGATCGTTCTATTCGAAATTGATATTAATTGCATCCTGATGAGTTTGGTCAGTGGTACTTCGTTTTTGATTTTTTTTTTAATATCTTTATTTTATTTATGTATGTAACCACCGAGCGAACCCTTTAAAATAAACATAAATTTTCCTACTTAATAATAATTTAATGCAACAATAAAATATATGTTATCAGATCAAATTAACGCAACAGCAAAATCTATCAATTACTTGTGGATTATCAATAAAAATTCTTGTAACAAGCAAATTGTTGGGTTTTTGTTATTAAATATGAAGTTGCAAGAAGTAAAACTCTGTATATGAACGTTTCAGTTAGCATTAACTGATTAATGCTTAAGGCTTAATATTTCTTTGAACCAGTTTTTATTTTTTAGTTAAATATATTGGCATTAAAATGTCTAATTGGAATTGCTAAGTGGGATCTACCGTCGTTCAGAGAATACATGCAAGAAATAAATGAAAACATTTTTAAAATTCTTCACAAGTATGCAGTAACAGGACTGAATAAAGGAGATAATTTCGATTTGGTGCTAATTTCTTTTAAGGTATTTAAAACTAATTGTATGTTAAATATTTACTTAAAACTATGGCTTCATATTTTAGTTTATGGCAGTATTGCTTAGAGATGTGAAATACTATATAATCGACAAAGAACATCTTAAAATGCTTCTTTTTTACGTGGAGCAAGACTTACACGAAAACGATAGACAAATCAATGCCTTGATGTTACTGAAAGCTGTTACATCTAGAAAGTTTGATTTGCCCGAAATTTATACCGTAATGAATAAAGTGGCAAAAATCAGTATAACTTCAACGAGCTCTCAAGTGCAAAATTATGCCTCTCAAGTTTTTTTGCACTTTTTTATAAATTATCCCTTTGGCAAAAAGATGGATTCGTATATTGGTTTCTATCTTTCTCAAATAAATTATGAATATCAGTCGGGGCGCCAGTCAGCCTTATCGATGATTCAGAATTTAATTAATTCATTTCCCATGGTAAGATTTTTTTTGTAAAATAGGGTATATAGTACGCTGAATTAAATTGATTTAAAATTACTAATTAACAAAAGTAATCTGAAAACATTTCTTTTTAACACATTCGTGATGTCTACTTCTTGTCGTAGTTATACAAGGTGAAACAGAAATAAGTGCGGAGCTTTCTGGGGGTGATAAGGTAGATTATCCACATTTAGCGACTAATGTGCTTGTTAACTTACATTTTATTCTTTCTTTTATGTTCTTACATTTACATAGTGCTGCGTGTAATGTAATTATTTATTTTTTTAGTCTAAACGTTATGTGTAGTACTAAATTGTTTTTGTTTATCTTAGAAGTTCGATAGTCGGCAATGTTTACATCAATGTAGCTGCAGAGTTTTTATTGCAGTACACGATTCGAAGATATCTGCGTTGTTAATTTTTGCACAGGACCGGCTTCTGATTGTAAACGATTGTGATTGTCTTTTCTTAATCTTACCCACGCTGCTGATCTCGCCATGGGGTTATTTATTACATCTAGTTTACACCCTCTATAGCATCGCACTTAATTTTGCTAATCACGCATTCGTTTAATAAAGTGAAATATATGTATAACGTTCACTTCGTGGTACTAGTATTAGGCATTAGTTATTACCTACTACTTGTACGTATTTTCGGGCTTTTTAAGAATTACCCGATGTTGATTTTCAATTTAAGTTTTAGCAGGCAATACGTCTGCTCAGAAGTATTAGTGATCTACAAAATGACACATTTTTCGAGTTTGTTAAAATGTAAATATAGAAAGATTACTCTAAAGTCTCCAGCTTCGGGCCAACGGACTTCACTAATACCTACTGTATCTAATTCTAATTTATCCATCTCTACTTTTAAATTTTCTAATTTTCCTACTTGCCTCATTGTCCTAACATTCCACGCTCCGACTCGTGAAATATCGCACCTATCCCTATTGCATTTATTGATGACATCCCCCGAGGTAGTCTCCGCCCGGACTTCCGAATGGGGACTAGTTACCGATTCTCATGATCTCTGCCACCCTGAGTACTGAAAGAGCTGCTCTTTCAGGGACCTGTCTTAGTCTGGTTTCTCTTTAAGAACCCCCCCCCCCCATTATGGTTGAACCTTTGGTCCGGCAGACGAAATACTACAGGCGGCGGGAGAAACGAATGACAGGGACATAGAGACAGAATGGAACAGCATTGAAATCTGCATAGTCAGCAGCTACAGATATACTAGGTCTTAAATGAAACGAAAGTAGGAAACCCTGAATAACAAATGAGATTTTAGGATTAATAGAAGAAAGACGGAAATACAAAAACAGGACAGGCGAAGAAGGAAAAAAAGATATAAGGCTATAAAGTGGGAAATAATTAAAAAGTGTAGGGCAGCTAAGGAAGAGTGGATTGATAGGATGTGTAAAGAAGTAGAAGAAAAGTTTAAAGTAGGTAAAACCGATGAGGCGTATAATATGATTACAAGGAATTTTAGAGATGTAGGGTACAGTAGTAATAATATAAGAAACGAGGCGGGGGTCATTTTGATAGAAAATGACGAAAAGGCAGATAGGTGGAAAGAATATTTAGGGAACCTGTACGCAGGCCATGAGTTAGGAGATATATTAGAGAAGGAAGATAGCGTGGAGTTAGATGAACTAGGCTATCCCATAATGAGAGAAGAGTTCGATGTAGCATTAAAAAACTTAAAGAATAATAAGGCGCCGGGGGTAGGTGGGATACAGGGAGAAATTCTAAAACATGCAGGACAAGAGGTTACAGATCGTATGTTTAAGCTAGTTAGTCACATTTACGAGACAGGGAAAGTTCCAGAGGATTATAAACGGAACGTGGTAGTAACCATACCTAAAAAGAGAGGCGCGGATAGGACACTTAGAACAATTAGCTTAACTTCCCATGCGTCAAAAATCTTAACTAGAATTGTACAGAGTACGATGGAAAAAAGGGCGGAAGAACTATTTGGAGAAGATCAATTTGGATTTAGAAGAAATAGAGGAACGCGGAAGGCCATTCTAGCTGTACGTGTAACAATAGAGAAAACGATAGAAAAAGGAAAGAGTGCGTACATAGGATTTGTAGATTTAGAAATAGCTTTTGACAATGTTAAATAGGACAAGATGTAAAATATACTTAAAAATGTAGGAACGAGTTACAAAGATAGAAGAGTGATACTTAGTTTGTATAAAGAACAACAGTCAGTTATAGAGCTAGGGTTGCAACGTAGAGAAGTAAATATTAGGAAGGGAGTCAGACAGGGATGCACACTGTCACCGCTACTTTTTAATGTATACATCGAAGACGCGATGAACATCAATAAAGACAGTACAACTGTAGGGATAGATATACAGGGGCAAAAGATTAGTATCTAGCATCTAGCAAGGAGGACTTAGAGATAGCATTAAATAAAATGGAAGCGGTACTGACAAAACAGTACTGTATGAAAATAAATAAAAGTAAAACTGAAGTATTGGTATGCAAGGGAATAAAAAGTAAGGAAAGAGCGAATATAAAGATAGGAGACGAAAAATTAGAAGAAGTGACTGATTTTAGAAATCTAGGAAGTCAGATAAGTCAGGACGGAAGGAGTAGTAGGGATATAAAGCAGAGGATAGCGCATGGTGGTGCCGCCTTTAATAAGAAGAAGTCACTTCTATGCTCGCGTATGGTTAATTTGGAAAAGGCGGAAAAGAAAAGGTTAGAAGCGTTCGAAATGTGTTGTTATAGGCGAATGATGAGAATAACGTGGATAGAAAGGGTTAGGAATGAATAGGTATTAGAAAGAATAGTAGAACAGAGGACTCCATGGAAATCAATAAGAAATAGGCGAGATAGGTTGGTAGGACACCTTCTCAGACATAAAGGTCTAGTCAGAGACGTATAAGAGGCAGAAACAGGAGTTAGGAGGGGTAGAGGTAGACCTAGATTAGATTACTGTTCGCAAATAGTTAAGGATGTGGGTTGTTCTAGTTTTAGAGAAATGCGAAGTTTAGCTCAAGATAGGAAAGAGCGAAGGTACGTGTCCAACTAGTCTTAGGACTGATGATGGAAAGATTACTACATTTATTTGTGGCCATAGAATTCGTTCTTTAGAAGTGAAATATGAGTTCTTATACACTTGCATAATATTTTTGTACGACTAAAGAAATTTTAAATGGCTGGTGAATTCAGTGCTTTTGAAGTAGAAATAGGCAATAGGAAGAGCAAGCAGATTTAATTCTGTTTATTCATTCTTCTGATCTTCAGTTGATTCGACAGCGTACGACTTCAAGGAAAGTATAACTCAAGTTGGAATTAATTTTTGTATTGAGTAGACCGACAACGAAAGCAATACTTCTTAGGCAATTAGTATTGAAGCATTTAACAGAAGGGGGCGATGCAATAAATAATTTATTAAAAACTGAAGTTGTTGGCAGATTAATGGTCATGGATTAATGATCTGTTAACGAAAATGATTCTTTATAGCCTACTTACTAGCTAAAAAAATTTAGATGTGCCATTGAATTAAAAAATGAACTAGCGTCATCTGAAATCTTAAATATAAAAGTCGTGCAAGTTGAGCCAGAAATAAGGGAGAGTTGGTTGAAACACCAAGTTCATTTGTCTGAAAATCAAATCTCTCAACGCAAAATACTTGTGAAAATAACTACCAATCACTTCAAAATTAAATGTTGTCACAAGTCTCCTCAGTGCTCTCAGAATTGTGAATATACGAGTGCAAGGAATAATCACAAGCAGAATGCCAATCCTATAGAATACTTCTAGGCTGTTTATCACCTTGCGAATTAAACAAGAGTATTATTTGTTTTCTGCTGGTTCCACTAGCCAATCATTTTATTGTGCAGTTAAATTTTTTTTTCTCAAGAAGAGAATTGGAAACTTCATGGTGGATGTACGTCTCATTTTGTCTAGAAGAGAACAGTTTAACAAAAATTGCAGATTCTAATGCTGGAGTGTTAAAACTTGCTAGTTATGCATCTATATTAATGTTATTGGACCTGGGGATGTTAGGGTTATAAAATTGTAAATTCTCAACCAACAATAATTGAATTTGAATCTACATTATTTGTTCCGGAGTTGAGGTCTAACATGGTGTTTGTAGCCAAGACAGACTACTGACAAAAGTGATTTTGATATTTTTGAGAACAAGTCAATTATTGTAAATCGTGATGACAAGTTAAGATGATTGGTATTAATTAATTCCTGAGAACTCATGTTTAAATGCTTTAATTCCAAATAATAATAAAAATTTTGCTGAAATATGACATAGTCGATTTAGATATTTGAACTTCAAGATGGTGTAAAATATACTTTTATAAATCAGAAAAATGCTGTCATTACAGCCTTCTCTCAATATAAGAATAGAGCAGATAATTTAACTGGAAGATAAGTCATGAATTTCCAGTTTGATAATGACAAAGAATATCTTGAAGTTAAGTTTGATTAATTTTTGAACAAATTAGAAATAGAAAGGCGACTTAGTGTTCCTTGAACACTTCAACAAAATGGTGTTGCGGAAACACAAAATCGAACTCTATTAGTTATGACTCGACGACTTTACTTACAATCTAAATTACCTTTGATGGTTTGGGCAGAAGCTGTTGCTGCAGCCTTGCTACATTAAAAATTTATTGTTTGCAGCTATTGTAAGTGGTATAAATAACTACCTATAAAAAATGGCTTAAGAAGCCTTTATTAATTAATCATGAAAACTTTTGGTTTTATTGTGTATGCTGCTGATAGTGATCCTGCGAAGGATAAGTTTTCACTAAGGTGAAAGAAAGGTATTTTTGTTGGGTATCCTTGTAAATCAAAAAGGTATAGAGTATGATTACTAGAGTCTAGGAAGGTAATTTTATTGAACGAAATATACGATTCTTAGAAGAGAATTTCACGAATTCTAATGATATTACCAGACCATGTGATGCAACCAGATAGATAATTCGACAATTTAATATAAAAACTTGCTGCTGTTCAGACGCCTGACACT